TAATACCCAGCACATCTAGCACACTTCTTTTTCTATTTATTTTGGCACTACGCACTGAAGTTTTACCCTCCGAGATTAAATAGACATTTGCTATCGAAATGATGCTACTCAAATCACTTGTTTGTCGATTGATCTATATACAAAGCAAAAAAGGCGTATGAGCTTGCCAGACGGTGCAACTTGTCCGTCACCATGGCTCATGTCCTATCGATGTACGCTATGTGCATAACCAGCTGCAACCCAAACACATAGGAGAGTCCTCGCTATGTTTTTAAATGCTTTCCATATCAACGGTTGCATGGAAGGACTGGAACAGCTGTTGATTTTACTGTAGGTAAAACTACCCTCGTGAAGGCGTGTCACTCTGCTTTCTCCTCGGCGCTACTGTTTCTACCATTTTTAAAGTTTCACGTGAATTAAATAATTACCTAGGTCTAACCATTTAGCTTGTTATAAAAGCCTAATTATTTTAGCACAAATTAGTTATTTCTCAAATACTCGGACAATCTGTGCTCATCACTTGCTGGCTCTCCAACATCGTGTAGAAATACTGCTGTCCTATCGGTTCGTAGGAGCTTTTCATCTTTTCCTTAATCACGACTTTCTTACCAAATAGCTGGCTTTTGCTGGGATACCGACAATACCTGAAGTTGTTTCACTTACATTTGGACGTATGAACAGAAGTATTCAGCTTTCACCACATTTAAGCGACCATTGATCGACTAGACATCGTAGCTCGATGTAAGGCTGAAAAGACGTTCACCACTGCTAAATCAGCAAAATAAGGCTGCGAAACCTTAAAAATAGTAAAAAAAAAAAAAGTATTCAAACAAGGTTAGAAAAAAATTTCATAAGAATCGCGTGAAAACCAAAGGAGAAACAAATGTCCTTGAATAAGCAAGAAGTTGAAAGGATAAGAAGACTACAAATTAAAAATCACCTTTAGGGAGAGAAGGAAAAGCAAAAATAGCATTTAGTCGCTTGGGATTTGTTTTGGTGTTTCAGAGCTCGTTTTAAACAAAGTTTCGTTTTATCGCATGAAATAGAATTGGAGAAGATTTTTCTTAGAAATGATGAGAATGAGTAAATACTGCGCAGTTTTCCTTCAGTTAAAACCAGTTAAACTTCTGGGCGTTTTCAAGTATTTAGGCTTGAGCTTCAAGCTCATGAGCTGTACAGTCGTTTTGCGCAACCATCATAAATTCTGCGATCAATTTGCATGAAAATCATTGTGTAAACCATTGTCTCTGGATTTCTGAGAACGTGGTAACTTCCCCATTATCGGAGTCGATAAGCCAACAATGTGTTCATTATCGCTGCAATCACATTGTCTCAACTCGTTGACGTAAACGAGTATTCAATTGCAGACGTATCAGTTACCGACTGACTGACCGCGTGGCTCTCTGTAACTGGCTTACGGTAGCCGACCGACAGTAATATTACGCTGTTTTCATGGAAATCGAAGCAATGAGGTGACGTTACATTCCCGAACAACTACCTGAATCCGAGACTTCAGAGATGCTTTTTAATCTTGTGCTAATAAAGTGTGAAGACTAAAAGTTATTTCATTATCGATTGTTTGCTGAAATTCTCCATGAAACAATCGATACAATACCTCATAAAGAGTTTTTAATCTGAAAATTTTAGATGTTTAGCAGGTCAATAGGAAGACGGAGGTTTCGAAACGTAGTAAAGTTTTTCTTTCAGTGGTAATAACGTTTTATGTCTTTTCGTCATCGGAAACAAGATGTCAAGTGGCAACAAAGCGATGGAATCTTGGCCAAAAATCACATATATCTGTCCCCAAGCGAATTTATTGAGACGACGTAATTTAGAAAAATCTAGGTTTGTCTCTTAGGTTCCAGATTTGCATTTTCCTATTGATTTAAGTTATTCTTTTGTGTTTTTGTCTACTACTGATTGTGACAGGAGCTGCTCGAAAGCGGGTGGGTGGTGGCATTTACGAATCATCAAGCTACGGTATGCCACTCAACTATATCCGAACACATCCGGAAATGAACTGTTGACCGCGACCTGTCAGTCAGTCGATTCGAGTCGATCTGATCGCAAGTGTTGTTTCACGTCGACGCTAGAGGATGACGCAATCGCCAACACCCGGCCACTGAATGGCGAAGTGGTACGGAGCGGATTCAATTTCAAGGTGACTGCGACGATCAAAACGAGTGGTGTTGATGTCGTTCTATGTGAATCACGATCATTCTCTACGACAACCACAAAAGCCTTTTATTCCATTTTTTCCGCAGAGTAGTTTCAGCGAATATAATTCTTTATGGAATCCACAAGAAAGGCCGCATAGAAACCGCGGGACCATCAAAGTAGATTTGTCTGTCGACTGTTTTTCAGCTCTGTCCATACAGTTCCTTAACGCCATGTTTACGATCTCACATAAATGTTGAAGGTGAAGCTATATGAGTAGGCATCCATTAACGCCTATTTCGTCTTTACATTGCTAAAAGACCTATTTTTCAACTAATGAATAATCTTTAAGATCACGAAAACTTCAGCGCAATCTGTTGAAAACAAAGCGAAAGAAATAAAAATGTAAAATAGAGAAGAGGTGAAAGAGTAGGAAACGAAGTAAATAAACATGGAACGGAATTAGTGAGTGAATGAAAAACTAACTACATGTCAAATGAGAGGCTGATTGGCTCAATAATCTGATCAGTTTATTGGCGACTTTCCAGAGGAGATGAAAGAATGACAGCAATGAGAATGTGGAGAGTGAAGTGCTCATATGAGAATAAATGAGTCAAAACAAGTGTGAGAATTTTCGCTCATCATTTGTTACCCATAAACTTCATTCGATGTGATCTCATGTATTCCGTTCAACTATCGTTAGCAACCGATCGAATAGCCGTTGATAGTTTCCACTTGCTGTCACTTTTCTGACATCGTCACGCAATCCCTCTGTAAACCAAAAGTTCACATTGGTCATCTCTGCTCGGCTGCACCTCCTGCGATCGACGTACTCCCTCGTCCCCGACCCAGGTTTCGATTACGGTAGCGGCACTCTGCCTCTGTCATTCGTGCCACCAGCTTGTCGTACGTAGTCGCGGATGGACTCGCAACTGCTGGCGTTGAAGAGGTGAGTCGGCTTACGGTAAACGATAGGCGAAGAACTAGTGATGACGATAACGGTGATGATGGAGACGATGATGTTCATGTTGGCGATGTTCTGTCTGGTTATGCATGGCAACGACACCGGCACGTTCATCAGCTGTTCATCACCACGCACAGTTTACAAGTGTCGATCAAACAAATTATATATAGTTTACAATGCGTTTTGTTTATCAGAGTTTGTGTATAATGGCCAGAATATGACGATTGTGTGGTGAATTCTAGTGGTGTCTTCGAAGTGAACTTCTTCACGTCTCTTCCATGTTGTAGTTCTTTTACATCGTTCTCGTTTCATTGTTTCTTCAATCACACGGTCCGAAGCGGATTGAGAAACATATAAACCTTTTAAATCTAAAGCTTCTCATTTGTGCTTTTTCTTCTTCACTTTTAATCCATGAATGGATAAAAAAGGTCAACCATTGACATTGTCGACCTCAGCTCAGCAGCAGATCCAAATTTTGCTTTAGTCCACGATTCCTACTTTCACACATGTGTCTACGAAGCCGGAAAGGTTATCCTATTTAGGTGTGTTTGATAACCTGCAACAGGTAGTTAAATATTTTATGAGAATTCATCGAGATTATAAGAGATCCATCGTCTTCATTTCTCTAGTGATAAAACGCCTAATATAACTTATACAATATCTATATACCTGGTTGCATAGGAATTTCGCTGCGATTGCATTAGAAGAGCTAAATTTTACAAACATCCAGAAAACTGCGATCCACAAATTTTCTCATTTCGTCTCGATTTTAGAAATCGATCGGTAGGTACAATCTTAAATGAAACCTTATTAAGCCCCGTGCTTCGATCATTTCAGATCACCATTTACAAACGCAATGCTGAATAGGACTTAATGTTAGCACAGTGTCGAAAAATCGGTAGAGCTTTCTCATAGTGCGACTTATTCTTCCATTTCTCTTACGTTTTCTGGGCCCATACCTTACTTGTTATGCACAGTAGCTGTCATTTCCTACAGTGACATAGCGCAACGATATGTTTACAATCGATAAGTGTCCATCACAGTATAGCAATCTGCCCTATAGAGAATGGAATATTACCTATACTAGTTTTTCTAAAGCTGCTTCTTCGAAAGTATATTCTAGAAAAGTAGACATTTGGAAGGCTTTTACAGTGTAAATATTTAGGAAATTGAACTTAAGAGAAAAATCTGGCAGAGCTAGTTTCATACAGTTACCTTTTATCATTATAGCAGTTCATTCTCATCGTTGGCTTGTTCGTTGGAACCATTGGCTGTAAAAAATGAAGAAACCGAAGAAGAAGAGGTGATCCTTTTTATCTTTCTCCATCGTTCATTCTATTAATGCCGATGAACAATCGCCTGACATGATTTACAGTTGCCGACACAAAAAATGCCCTTCCCTTCTTCAGTTTTCATTTCAATCATCGGGAAGGAAAGTGATTGCATCTTTTCGTTAAACCAACTAATCTGTGTGTTTGTCAGTTTCTTAGTAAATGGTTTGCCTGAGTTGTTCAGATTGCTTCTTCTTCAAAGAAATGTCGTAAGAGTCGCGCTAAACGACAAGAGAAGCCGCCGTATAGCTACATTGCATTGATAGCAATGGCCATACAGGTATCACCTTACCTGCACTTTCCAATATAGTTTTAGACATTATTATACTGCCTTCATATCCACTACCTTTTACAATAAATGTAGATGAAAGCTATCTGAAACCAATAGAAAAACTAATACATAGGAAAGGTCCTCAATGAAATCACTCTTATTAGGTAACTGCTTCTGACATCATTATTCTTCATTCATCCATAGCCTTCGTTCCGACCTTTGTCATATTTCTTGTAGCTTTCTAAAAGTGTCACACTTTTTACCGTAATCACCTCGGTTGTATCAATTGTGCTCTTGCCAATCACTGGATGACTCGACCGGTCATAATTTGAGAAACTTCTACCGCAGACATCTGCCTTCCGGAGTATTGCAAATATCTCAGCACAATTGTAGTTGATTTCGCATAACACCCTGCCGTAAAAATTGTGGTAGGCAGTAAATAACAAGGTTAACATTGTGTCTTGATAATTTATTCCTCATACGAAGTGCCATGGTTGCCCAGTGGACGCAGCACTCTATAAGGACACAATGAGTGTTATATTTTCCGTATGGGGCAACTTGTGTGTACTTTTAGCTGAAATGTACCAAAACGCAATACGCTGTTTCAGAGAAACTTGTCAAACGTTTCTAGAGTAGATGTCATGTCGCTTATTAGAGGTAATAGAGAGCTACTTAATCTGCAGTTCATAGTCGCTCAATTGAAAGCTTTAGACGTTTAGAACGCAAATCTCAAAAAAATGACCAGAGCCTTTATGTTTGGGCCTTTATGTATATATATATATATATATATTATGTTTGGGCCTTTATGTATATATATATATATATATATATATATATATGGGCCTAAGTATTAATTTGTCCAGCGCAGCACAGAGAATGCTACGTAATGTCAGCTGCAACAAGTTTAAGCACACAGTTACGATTGGATTGTATATAGCTCTGTATCTTTTTTCGATGCTTCCCCATGTAACTTCGCGCCTAGCGGAAGAAAGCCTTTTGTTAATCTTCAAAGTAAAAACCATTATGTCTGAGACTAACGACTGTCGTTTAATGGAAGACATATATCACTTATTGTTAACCATCTCGACAAAGTTATAGCTGAATATTTTTTAAATTCCTCAAGTCTGAATGAAGAATTTTTTTCTGTCGGCAACCGTTAAGAGCTATAACGGTATTTCAGAAGCGACCCGACAAGCGGGCGACTTTGGCCGAAATCTATACGTTCCTCCAGGAGCACTTCGACTTTTTTCGTGGTGAATATGTAGGATGGCGAAACTCAATTCGTCATAACCTCTCACTAAACGACTGCTTTGTGAAATTACCGAAAGAAGCTGGAGAACGGTAATCAGAAACATTTTAAGAAGTGCATTATATTTTTGTACGCTTCTCTAGATACCTCAGCTAAAGATATGGTCTGTCCCTACTTTATCAGTCAGTTCGTCCTTGGATGAAGTATAAAGCCAATATTGTCAAATCCTTTTGTGATTCAAAAACGGCGGCAAAATTTTTACCCTCATCGTTGACCAGTATCTAGGCCAACTATCAGAAAATGAAACAATTTATCTGAAATAGTGAATGACAACTTTTGCACCCCCTGGGTATCGTAAAGTCGATCTCATGCATTTCGAAAAATACTCAGCTTGAAATGAGCCAGCTTTACTTGAGCACCCGGCGACATCTCGTTTCCGAAAAATTTGCCAATTTACTTTTTTAAGCCTTTTAAAGCTTTGCTAGGAGAGTGTAACAAACGGAGAAGGAGGGAATTGTCCCTCCCACGTGCAAGCCAAACTTTATGGTTTAAGGTCGAAATATATTTTCCAATTAAAGCAAAACGTACTCGAAAATAGTCAGAATACGTTTTATCACTAAATTTCTCGTAGGCTAGCTACTGATAAATTTCAAGTTCTGTAGATGATGAGTTATTATAACTATGTGAACGGTTTGTTATCAAGAAGGAAGCTTCTACTGTTTCCCACATTTCAAAAACAACAGCTGTTCATTTGACAAGTGAGTTAGCAGAAACTAATTCCAGAGGTCGCAAAGGTCACAAGTGGACGATCTCGGATAACTGCGAGTTTCTGCTAGAGGAAGGTGCGTTTCGACGTCGACCACGCGGATACAAGGCTAGGAAGCGTCCAATGTACGGACAGTTTGCCCAAGTAAGTATTTTCATGATACGGTACTCGTCAGTATGTGTAACGTGGATGCGCTGTTCAGAAGCGAGCTACATTATGTTTTCCTGCTTATTAGTTAGCAACGTCTGCTTTCAAAGTGTACGACATTCCCTATATGACTGTCTGCTTTTAATCGTATCCTTTTATTCTACTAATAATAACTTTGGAGCTATAGAATAGAGCATGTTTAAGATCCGTAGTTGAAATGAAATTATTTAAAGGCAAAACTAATAAGCAATCGATGAATTCTAGTAGGTATTGAAAGACGTCATTTCCATAGTTCAGGCAAGCCATGACTTCACAATTGATTACTTATATTGCTTGTCGTATCGATATTCAAGACCTTGCTTAATTATTGATTTTACGCACGTAGGAATTTGACTAAATGGATATCTTCTCTCTCTCTGTAGATTATCTACGCAGGTTTCTTTTTTCGTCTTTTTCTGTTTTATACTCTATTTTCGCATCTGGAACTAAGAGTTTTCCACGGCGTAGTGCGGCAAGCTATCCATAGTTATCCCAACGTCAGAAACACTGTGAAAGCGCATCGTTCCAAGAAAGAGGAAAAGAACTGGTGTTGCTCGCGCCTTTTGTGAAATTAACCTACTCCTGGTTGAGTTACTCAATTGCTTACGAAAGCGTAAGTGGTGCAGGTGGAGCACGAGGTCGAAACATACATGCATACCTTTACACGAATTTATGCAAATGATATGTCGAAAACACTAATACCCAGTCAAGATGTGGGATGATGATTCGTCAGAGATAAAGGTATTCATTTACTTACTTTTATGACAAGACTTCTTTACCGCCTATTTTACGCTGTTGAAGATTTGAATAGAAGTGATCAGATAGTGTATGTCATTGTGGTGCCGTCACTGCTTCACTAAAGTCTCGACCGGCCACATATGGGTCGTGCCTGCCAGATATCACTTAGCGACTGACTTCCCAACGCTAGTGCGCCGGTGCGCTACAACACATGTTGTCGATTTCGGTTCTTTGTGGGGATGTTCTCGATAACTCTAGTGGGCAACCATATTGCACGACACTCGGCAATCACGATAACATGTGCTATCTCCACATTTCTGTACAACACCAGTACACTTGTAACAGTTTTACTGCTTGGTCGGTATTTAAGGTTGAACTTTTCCTCTAGTTTTCTATAGTTTATAGACAATACCAGTATAAGCGTAGACAAGCAAAAAATGATACCTTGCCGGCGAATTGGCTACAATACCCAGATCTTTGAGGTTCCAAACTCAGTTTTGCTTGATAATTCAATGCTAGTCAGACATAAGGGCTGGCCTTGGAGCAAATGTTGGCTCCGGGACATTACTTCCTTTTTTGAGAACTTGTTACGCAGAGAATTTACGAAATTTTTCTTTCGTCGAAAGCGTTTAAAATAACTCCATGCATATAGAACTAGTAAAATGGAATATAAAATCTTCATCTGAAACGCTAGTAATTCTACCGGTGGTCATCTATTTCTTAAGGAATAATGGCTACCTTACCAAGCTGTATGATTTCACTAAATGGTGCGTGTCTACTTAAAAAACTACTAAATTCCATTAGCGCTTATTTTTCCACAAATCTCTAATGAGACCACTTTCCAGTTTCGAAGACACTACTAAGTCGACGTCAATGGCACGGAATTAAAAAAGGAAGAAAGTCAATTCTGAAGCATTGTTAGCTTTGTGAGAGATTAGTGGCGCCAATTGGTCGAGCCATTAATCGTTTCCGGATCAACAATCGACTAATCGGTTACGGTAGTGCGCGATGGGGTTGACAGCCGGCTGTTTTATGACTCGACTCTCAGGCTTTGTTTCCATACGCGTCAACGCAGCCGAATCCGCATCGATGTCAGCGGCCGCACTTAGCGCCAATTCGTCGTATTTCGGTCGAAACTTTGTGAAAAAATGAACGACATGGGTTATATTCACTTGCATCACCCACAGTGATCATCGAGTAACTTGAGCAAGCACAGTAAGGTCCCTAACACTCTCCGTAGCGCTTCCAGAGTTACTGACTGTCCTCAACTAGAGCACATGAATAAGATGGAATTCATGCTCTCCGTGTGACAAAATTCGTTTTATTTCGAAGCTAAGAGAGACACAGATAGCTCACTCGGATACCAAAGGTTTACTCTTATTTGAGATTGGTGATGAAAACCATAAGCTCCTTCTCTGGTTTGAGAACTCAGGCTGACGAAGGTGGCACGATGACCCCACCAGGGATGGGTTTTTCATTCGATGAGTTGAAGATGTTGCGTGTTCCATGTATACAATCGTTATAGTATCAAATGTGAATTTTTTAATGACAATGATATGAAGTGATTAAACAGTGAAAAACAAAAGGATATGATTTAAGAATCACTAAGAAAGTATCTGTCAAAAGAGGTGACAAATTGAAAAATTCACCTGTACTCTGGATACTAATAAGAGCCGCGTGTGGGGCAGTGATTATAGACGCCCTGCAACTCATATGTGGAATCTATCCCCGCGCCCAAGGCTTACCAAGCCTTCCATCTCCCCGGGATCGGCAAATTGGTACCAGACTTGTCTGAGAGAATAGCAGCACTGGCTCTATACATCGGTAGGCCACCAAGAATCATTGTAAAGGCCAGATATGCATTCAATCACCTCCAAACTATGTTCAATGGAGTCGAATGCATGGCGCATCCCTTAGGGACTGATCGACGCCGGGAGCTCTATCCTTTTTATCCTTTTACTGTGGATGAGGAATCAAACGAAGTTACAGCGTTTATAAACGATGCATCATTGCACTACATCAGCACAAATGTGAAACCTTTTTTTCAGTTCACCAACAACGTGCCTGTATTTTCAATACTTGAAACCAAAATTTTGAACAGTTCAAGACAAGTTGTGAACTTTTAGCCATAACTGAATAGTTGTGAACAAAAACTCACAACCAACGTTATGGGCAAAGGAGAAACTAGGATTAAGAGTGAAAAACAATACTTTGGGATGGCTAAAGAAAATGTTTAAAATCACTCAGAATTCATCGATATTGTACAAAAATCGTAAGGTACGGAACCTGGACCTATTCTGGATTTATTTTTCTTTATAAACCAGCTTTCCAAGTGGTTTCACTTTTCTAACTTTATAGTTCGAATATCCTCCACCAATGCCGGAGTACACGATGGACAAAGCGGTGATGGATCCGATGACTGCCGCAACAACAAACGGTTGGTTAATAACTTTATTTGTCAACATTTGTATAAAAAAAAAAATCTGTAAGTACAAATCTGTAAGTACAAATCAAATCTGTAGTCTGTCTGCAAATCTGTAAGTACATTTTGCTATTTTATTCATATCGTATGCAGTAGAGTGCGTGTAGGACTGTGGGTAGAGGTGCCTGCAATACATACTTGTGCCGTTGGTTCGAGCGTGCGCTTTGGGCTAACTCGATTAGGTCATCTTTTACGGAAGCTCGGAAAATAAGAACCAAACATACCGGAGAGCTGAGAGCTGAGAGACAAGCGAAACGAAGGACCCGCATGGTGTGGTGGTGAACGCGTTACTCCCCGGAAAGGACAATAGTGCGTTCGTTTCCCACCATAGACACCTGCGGTCCAGAGTTTTGCAAATATCTCAGCAACGTTGTGGTTATACCGGAGAATTAGAAACACTGGCTTGATTTATCTGTGGAATAGCCACAAGTCATTATGTAGAATAGACATGCATTCAATTTACCTTAATGATGCTGGATGAAGCCGAATGCAAGGGGCATCCTTGAGAGGTTGATCAATTTCATACGGTTTAAAATTTAACCTCTAGAAATCTTATATCTTCAGCCTTTCTTGATTTTTTTTCGTTCATGTGAGCTGTATGTCATTAGCTATGAACATCGTCCGTCTCTCCAGGTGTCAACAACCTACAAAACAATGTTTTTTGTAAAACCTACTATTTTATGGTTTTTCTGTCACCTAATACGTAAAAATAGAGATGATCATTTTCAACCATTTCTCTAGCTTTTCAATTTACCGCCACTTTGTTCCTTTTTTTTGAACTAGTTGGAAAAGAGCGCCTTTTTTCCAATCGACACCCGTTTTTGGAGGCAGTTGGACAACCTGATAGTGAACATGGGAACATGGAGTTTGAATAGCTTAAAAATAATCGAAATAGAAGTGTAAATATTACCTCGTGTTTTACCATTACCGGAATGAAAATCTTCGTTCATATACCATCAACAAAAAAATAATTGTAGCTTATAGCCTTTTTCACGCTTGCTTTTCGTCAAAAGTCCTTCATGGCTTTCATTATTTAATCCTTCACATAATTTTTCATACGTGTGCACAGAAAAACTCTATCAATAGGATTTCCCGGGGAAAATTCTGCCGCAGTAGTCGGAGGCGCCCTGCAACACACATGTGGAATCGATCCGTGTGCCCAAGGACCACCAAGCTTTCCATCCTTTCAGAGTCGGCAAATTGGTACCAGACTTGTCTGGGAGAATAACAGCACTGGCTCAATACATCGGTAGGCCACCACGAGTCATTGTAAAGGCCAGATATGCATTCAATCACCTCCAAACGATGCTTAATGAAATCGAATGCATGGCGCATCTATCAGGGATTGTTCAACGCCGAAGCTTTATTCTTTTTGTGCTCTTTACTAGAATTTTCCAGCATTAGAAAAAATTCCATTTTATTTTAAATAGTTACCTCTAGGATAAGGTATTTTCTTACACGACACCATTCTTGAACATATGGAAACTTAACCTTTTTATTTACTGCCTACTTTTTTTAATGTCAGGGTATGTTGCAAAATATTATTTTTATGGTGCCAAGATATTTACAAAACTCTGAACCGCAGGTGCCTGCGGTAGCGAAGGAACGCGCTACTACACTTTGACTGAGGGAACTATCTGAAAGAAGAACTACCTGAGAAACTAGCTGAGGGACAGGTGAAACGAAGGAACCGCATGGTGTGCTAAATACGTTAGCACCCGGAAAGGGTAATAGCGCGTTCGTTCCCCTCCGCAGACACCTGCGGTCCGGAGTTTTGCTAATATCTCGGCACCATAGAAGTCATATACTGTTTTGTTTCTTGTTTTTCAATTATAAGCTGGGTTGTTGAAAATCTAATGTAAAAACCTAAAAAACGTTAGACATTGACCAATACCTTAGCTATGTTTCATATATTCGACTCTAATCGTAGCATCGTAGAGATAACACATATGTGACCTATGCAAAGACTTTTGAGAGCCTAGCTGTCTCAAAACTGTGCTTCTGTCCTCTCAGAGAAGTTTATTGTCAGCCAGTTTTCGAGGAGTGAGGTGGACAAGGTTTGCTCAAAGCGCAGGATCGAACCGGCGACCAAATGATTACTTCAGGGTACTTTGAATTGTTGCGTTACATGTGTCCTGAAAATATTTCCTGGAAATAAATCTTCATTGCATGCAAAAGTTACGAAGAAATATCGACATCGTTGTTAGGCTCGCCCAATGACTTCTTTCAAACACCAGTAAAACCGGATTCTGTTTCCATTCTGATAA